CGAGGGCGTTGTGTAAAATATTTCTCATACCGGGACTGTAAGGTACAAAATTGTCTGTGAGTATCGCAGAAATGAAGTTTGAATTAATTAGTACAAAAAGCACATCGGTTCAACGAAATAGTTTTATCTCGTACACCTGGTGTGCAGATTCAGCAAAGTAATGTTCGTGTAATATTTTCTTCAATTTTGGCAATTTTTAAGTAAGATTTCATAGTGAACCCTAATTTTCTCCTGTATGCAGCTATGATTATTTAATTCTACAAAGAAGAGGCAATTTTTATACATGTCTATTTTAAAAAATGATTGTAGTGTCCCCATCCAAAATTGACTTTTTTCTCGTACCTATTTCCTGTAATCACCGTTAACCTTTACAGTTATTTTATTCGCTGATTGCGTTTCTGGTAAAACAGATTAAAATATCGTATGGATTACAAATTAAAAATAGTAGGACAAAGAAGCCCTTGCGAATATTGACTGGGAATATAAACTTGGGATTCAGCAGTCTTTTAGCCACCAGGAGAATGGATTATTTTTTAAATAGTTTATAATCTGGTTTCTTTGCTACTATCAACTGGTTTGTAAACTTAACAAAATATCGTATCTTATAGATGAAAAATATGAGTATGATAAAGAAATCCTCTTTCACATACATTTTTAGAATTGAGCTGGCTTTTATCCACCAAGATAATAAATTAGCTACAAATATAAATATTTAATAACTCAGAGCCCAGTTTTGTTCATTTTTTTCCCACAAGAACTAAAGTTAAAATAGTTTCCCACAATAAGAATTGATTGATTGGGGTCAAAGTTTCAGACGAAAATATTTTTAAAAAATCATCTCGAAAAATTACGTTTATTTTCCCGAAAAAAATAATTTTATTAACTGAACAATTATGGCATGCGCAATAAACAGAATGAAAGGTCTTATAGGTTAAAATGGTAGAAGAAAGCCCCGTCATAATGGACAAAATTTAAATTTTTTATAATCTACCTTCACTGCGACGACGCTGCAGCTTATTAGAACATCTTACAGATTAACAATACCAGGGCGAAAAACGTCCCCATGCAGGAGCATCTTTGAATTCATCTTTTTTATTCACTAGCAGAACGAATTAGCTTCAAGTCGAAAGTCGAGTTTCTTTCCGTCCAATGCTAGATTTGAAAACATCCAAATAGCTTGCAGATTGAAAATATTTGGATTAAATGCGGCCCCTTGCGAGAACTCGTTGGGATTTATTGATCTGTCAACCACCAGTATAGATTAGTTCAATTTTTTTTCCAATGTATTTGTTTTGTGACTAATCCCAGACATGCACAGCTTATCCAAATATATTATTGCTTAAAACCTTGTGGAGCTATTGACCTGCACTTTCAGTTTTCCAACAAAATGAATGACCTACAAATATTGTACAGATTAAAAATAGTTGGGCTAAGAACGTCACCTTGTAAAAGATCCTTGACATATGAAGGAACTAAGCTATTTTTGTTCTACCAACATAACGAATTAGCTTCAAATGTTTTGAAATGTACTTTGATTACGCGACTTATTATTGTATTATGCCAGACTTATTTTTAAAAAAATTAGAAATTTAGCAGTTTTTTTAATCTATCAACAGAATCAATCAGCATCGGATCTTTTCCTAATAATAAAAGGAAATATTTCCTAAGAATTACGATTTAGCTATTCCAAATAATACTTTCTTTCAATTTTCTTACAAAGCGTATTTCTAGAAAATAAAATACTTCAGAAAGTCGGTGTAGTATTTAATTAACGACAATTAATATACATACATCGCAATAAAAAAATTGAATTTTATTTATAATACATTATTACACATGATTGTTATTAATGATAAATGATGGAGTAAAAAGTTTGAACATGAGTGATAAGTATTTATTTACTTTTTTTAGGCTGGCAACAATAAATATAACGTGTGGTGATTAGTGACCGTTAATCGATAATTATTCGGAAATCGTGAGATGCGGTCTGGTGTGATGTAGGTTTCACAAAAACATTTTCTTTATCGTGCCAACGTTTCGATCTTTATTGAGATCATCTTCAGGGCTCAAAGTGTTTGTCTTCTGTGTAATTGTGCCATTCTTGCGTGAGACAACAGTTCAACAATTCTCTCAACACGACACGCAAGAATGGCACAATTACACAGAAGACAAACACTTTGAGCCCTGAAGATGATCTCAATGAAGATCGAAACGTTGGCACGATAAAGAATATGTTTTTCTGAAACCTACATCACACCAGACCGCATCTCACGATTTCTGAATAATTGATAAATATAACCATGTTAAGTCGATTGCCTCTTGTTTTTAATTATACATTATAATTATATATAATACTTAAGGACAAATTTCTAAACTGTTGTGAAAAATGTTCAGTATCTCATTAACGACTGAGAATTGGGTCAGTAGACGTTTTTCTGTTGCACAATCAACTCTTGACGTATGGGTCGGGAATTATAATACACCCTCTGTACATTTCATTCTAGAATATTGTAGAATTTTTCTTAAAGGTAAGAATTGTATACTAGTTACAAAATTAAAAAGAAATGTGTTTTGTACTTTCAATCTTGATTCTTTTACTTCTTAACGAAAGGTTCGAATAGGAAAAACGGGTCGTGTGCTTAAATGGTACACGGTGATTGCTAAATTGACCCACGGTTTGTGCAATACGTGACCTCAGCATACAAACTGCACCAGGCACGCGCACGCGCAAAACACAGAAGAGCAGAAGAATTAACCCAATAGTACACAAATACTCCATTCTTAGAAAATATTAAATCATTCATTAACATAAATAATAAATTTTGCGATCAATGTACCATGTGAACACTCCCGCATACACGCAGAAACACCAAGGTATTGTCATAACATATTGTTGAAAAGTTTATTAACTTTCTTCTTTTAACTTTAAAAAAAATAATAATAATTGAGGATTGTCGTTTGAGTTTTAAGGTATTAATGTGTTTACTACCTACGGTCCTTCATTCATTAACTGTATAAAAATGATACTTGAAAGACCAAAAAATCTATAAAAAAAAGGGCATTTAATTACTAATTAATTCACTTCTAATACACATGCATGTGCAACTAAGGATGGAATAAACAAATATTTATGATTTGTTGTTAAAAATCTTTGGTTATATATATGTACAGTGTATTAAAAAATAAATAAATGAACAAGTAAAATGTCAAAATAATCCCAAAAATTTGTCGCAATGGTTTCAAAAGGTGATTATTATCGGAAAAACTTTCTTAAATAACATATTCTTAAAAAAAAGGAATGAACAAAGAATGAATAAATTAAATATTTGTTATATAAAATATGATTTGGAAGAGAGGAGTTTTTAATGTACAATGCGAACACTCACGCATGCACGCAGAAACACGCCCACGCGTTAGCAGACAAGAGATAATGTTCTGAGTGTTCAACATATTGTTGAAAAGTTTAATTAACTTTCTTGTTTTACCTTCTTTAACAAACAAAACCTAATTGAGCCTTGTTGTTTGAGTTTTAAGGTATTAATTTGTTTGAATATTATCATCACAAAAACTCCTTTCTCCCTAAACACTACAGTCATTCGTTTATTAACTGTAAAAAATATGAAAATGCATACATGAAAGACTAAAAAATCTATAAGAACACGGAATTTAATGACTAATTATTTCACTTCTAATAAACATATACGAGCACGTAAGGCCGAAATAAACAATTATTTATGATTGGTTGTTAAATCGTTCGATTATATAAATGTACAGTACTTAAAAAAAATAAGTAACATGTCGTCAAAATAACCCCGAAAGACCTGCACACAACATAAACAAGAAACATGCGCGAACTGAGTACCTACGTAAAATGTGCCACATATGTTTTCAAAAGTTGATCTATTTCGGAAAATTTTTCTTCAACAACATATTCTTCTTCAAAAAATGAAAGAAAAGAAAATTATTTGTGAAAGAAAACATGATTTGGAAGAAATGGGCGTTTTCAATGTACCATGCGAACACTCACGCATGCATGCAGAAACGCCCACGCGCTAGCGTACTACAGGAGTTGTCATAAAACATTGTTGAAAAGTTTATTAACTTTCTTCTTTTAACTTAAAAAAAAAAAAATAATAATAATTGAGGATTGTTGTTTGAGTTTTAAGGTATTAATTTGCTTGAATATTATCATCACATTAAATCTTTTCTCACTAAACATTCTCACTAAATTGTATAAAAATATAAAAATGCATACATGAAAGACTTAAAAAAATTATAAAAACAGGGCATTTAATTATCAATTAATTCATTTTCAATACACAAACACGTGCACGTAAGGCAAAAATAAACAAATATTTATAAATTGTTATTAAAATCGTTTGGTTATATAAATGTACAGTATAAAAAAAATAAAACATCAATATAATATAATAATAATAAAACACAAATTAGAAACGTGCGCGAACTGAGTACCTATGTAAAATGTGTCACATGTTTTCAAAAGTTGATCAATTTCGGAAAAAATTTCTTCAACAATGTATTCTTCAAAAAATGTTTAAAAAAAATTATTTATGATATAAAATATGATTTGGAAGAAAGGGGAGTTTTCAATGCACCATGCGAACACTAACGCATGCACGCAGAAACACGACAGCGCGCAAGCAGACAACAGGTGTTGTCGCAACATAATGTTGAACAGTTTTATTAAGTATTTTTCTTCTTTAACTAAAAAAAGTCAAAAAGTTCCTAGTTGGAGTTTTAAGGTAATCAATTGTTTGAATATTACATTTCTAGATTTTAAGATGATCAAATTGCCAGTATATTTTTATTTAAACCCCCTGGCAAAACGGTCGTCAAGGTGTCGGAGTGACAACATGACAACGGGGTCATCAATTAGAAATTCTATGGATTGTAGTTAGAATTAAAACTGTACATATGTTTAATGTTATGAAATGATAATTTGTCAAAATGGGCTAGTAGAAGAATGTGTTGTCACTTACCCATGCCGGCAAGTCGTCCACTCTGGCTAATATGACTTCCTTTTCGTTGGATAGGGCTGCCGCTTTGGCGATGTTTCTCTTCAGCTCTTTTTCCTTGCTCCATTCCTCCCTGAGGACGGAGAGGAAGATGGGACCGAGGAGCCAGGCTGGACTCAGGTTGAAATAGCCGAACAAGTAGACGAAGGCTACTTTCCCGATTTGTTTGCCGAATTTGTAGAGCAAGTGCAAGATGCTGGAGCCGGTGCCGATTTTCTTGGCGACCGCCTTGCACTCGTCGTCTTCAGATTTTTTTTCCGTCGCGTCCATTCCGGCCAGTGGAAGGAGCAAGACTGACGCCCGAGGGGCGAGACGAAGGTCCGCAGCCAGGGTTAATAATAAAACATTGCGTCACCGTGATTTGACGTAGAACGAAAACTATTCCTCGGCTCGCCCGATTCCGTCTCGGGGAGAATGGTCGAACTCTGGATTGGTGTTATTTTCGTCAATGGCGATGCTTGTAATCGTCAAAATACGGGCCTCCTCAAGGCTGTTATAGCCAAGCCTGCTATCGATCTCCTGGGAAGGATGACATCGCACCTCGACTCGCATCGATTTGGCAGCGCCCCAAACGCTGGAGGGAAATACGAAACCATCCATCACGAAAACAAAGTACACGGAGGACTTAACAATACAAACACAACCAGCCGACATAAACAATCCCGTCTCTCTAACTATCAGACACTACAACGACTACTGATAACGAATCTTGACAGTATCATTTAAACCAATTACTCTGTGAGGAAACTATCAAAGACTAAACATCGACGTACCTACAAATGAACGCATTCTCTCCCTTTCTCACTCTCACTCTCTCTCTCTCTCTCTCTCTCTCTCTCTCTCTCTCTCTCTCTCTCTCTCTCTCTCTCCCTCCCACCCTCTCTCTCTTTCTCTCTCTCTCCCTCTCTCTCTCTCTCTCTCTCTCTCCCCCTCCCACCCTCTCTCTCTTTCTCTTTCTCTTTTTAGATACATACGAAAACTAAAGTGCGAAAGTACTATATACGATAAATTTAAGAGAATAAATATGTTAAGATACGATAAATTACAAAAAATGACCATCACACTAACAATATTAATAATTATAAACACTAACAGCCGAACTATGAATTTGTTAAATATAAGAAAAAAATTAAAACATTAAACTTAAGACAACGCAATATATTTGAAATTCCAATTGATAGAACTAAAACATACTCCAACTTTTTCTTAATTATCAGCATAAAGATGCTTAATAAAGTTCCAAATAGTATTTCCACTCAGAGCAGTTTTCATACTTTCAAAAGAAAATATCGAAAACTTCTGATGTCAAATAATTAAAAACATCGTACAATCATGGAAACATAAATTAATTAATATTATGTACATATTATATTATGTGTTTTTGTATTCTCTAAACAATTATAATAATAACGAAAATAAAAAAACTTATTGGTTGTGTTCTTATTGTTTATATTTTCTTTTTCTTTTGACTGTTATTCATTGGCTTTTTTTAAAATAAAAAATACAACTTATAAATTTATAAACCAAAAATTTTTGTAATGTGAAATATTTAATAAAAAATGTGTAAAACCTTTTTTTCTTTTATTCTATTTGTAAAATAAATTCTAAAGATCACAAGAATCTGCTGTAAAATGTACAATATAATTCATGTTAAGTGGAAGAAAGGTCCACGAGCCCTAACTTTGTGTGGTTAAGTCTCTCTCCCTCTCTCTCTCACTCTCTCTCTTTTCCTCTCTCTTTCTCTCTCTCTCTCTCTTTTCCTCTCTCTCTCTTTTCCTCTCTCTTTCTCTCTCTCTCTCTCTCTCTCTCTCTTTTCCTCTCTCTCTCTCTCTCTCTCTCTCTCCCTCTCTCTCTCTCTCTTTTCCTCTCTCTCTCTCTCTTTTCCTCTCTCTCTCTTTCTCTTTTCCACTAATTTTCCCACATTTGTATTACTAATAGATGATAGGTCATTGGAAAGAGGTTTAAATATGGGTGTAAGATCCGTATAAAACCTTAAATTTGAGTATCGTATATTCGATCAATTTTAAAAACTAAACTTCCCAAAGATGGAAGATTTAACAAATTATACATTAGGCGTATGGTTTTAAGTGTTTATAGGGAAAATTAAAATTTGCGTGTGATGTACACTCTATTAATGCTAGATATAAAAGTGAACACCTGCAAATTACAAAGCATAAAACTAAGACTTTTAATCTCTTTTTATGTAAAAAGTGCTTGAGTTTATACACTAATATCCACCAAAAATTGTTACAAGTCTTGAAATGTTTAAATTAAAATAATATTTAATAAAGAAGTATGATTTGATGTTTAAACGTATAATTGTTTAAATTAAAATATATGATAAAACCAAATTGTTAAATGGTGATTATATATTATTTTAATACTGTATTGATTTCCTCCTTTTTTCATGTATTGTATTGTAAATGCATTATTTGGCTTTATTCCCTTTTTTTATGCTCAAGTTATACGTTAAGAGCATAGAATAATTTCCGAAACTGAATAAAGCAGAATAACGTTTTCAATGTACAGCAAATAAATTCATTTTTGTCTTTTGTAAACATAGTAAAATAATACTAAGAACAATAATAACAATTTGTTGAAGTCGTGAGGAGAGGTCAAGAATGGGGTAGTATAGAAAAACACATTTTTAATTTTTTTTTACCGACGTTACGGCCTTTATTCGGGTCATCTTCAGGGTCAGGGTAAATTACAAAACATATGTTGATTGGAAAAAAATACAATTTAAGATGTAAATTTTAAATTTTGACCAAGTATTTCATACTCACATAAAGTGTGGTGCTATTCTTGTGGTGCATATTGGTTTTGTGTAAACAATTCTTTAACACAAAACCAATATGTCACCACAAGAATAGCACCACTCTTTATGCCCTGAAGATGATACGAATAAAGGTCCAAACATCGCAAAAAATTGAAAAAAGGTGTTTTTCTAAACTACCTCATTCCTGACCGCCCCTCACGACTTCGACAATTAATAGGTAAAAGTTTATGCTTATAAATACGAAGACATTATTACATTAAAAATAATCGATTGACTGTGTTTTACGTTCTGTTTATTTAGCAATATGTTTATTATAGAATTGTGAGCAATAATTATTGGAGAAATTGTAGATTTGTGGTGCCACCCTAAACTAAGTCCCGTATGTTATCAAGGATTGTTCTAGTACAAAGTACACAGACCTCATTAAATCTGGCTGAAGAATATTTCTCAACATTTTTAATTTATAAAATAATTTTCAAAACTTTTTTACCAATGCGTGTAAAACAGGCCTAAAAGTTTTAAACCATCATTTTTATTTATTTCCAATGTAAAATTTATATAAGGTGTAAAGAATTAATTAATTGGAGAATGTTTTTTTAGATCCTCTAGTGTACCCGACTATATACATAGTGTTTCCAAAAAAGTAGATTTAATCATTTTTTTAGTTAATTTGAAAAGAATTTTTTTCAAAATTATCCATGAATATTTCGGCACAAAGTGGAGATAATGGAGAGACCATTGGTAACCCTTTCATTTCATAAAATGTATGATTAAATTTACAATAATTAGATAATAGGCATATACACTGATGAACAAATTTAATTCACTACTCAATTTATTTAGCTTAAAATTAAATCCATGATCTTTTTAGAGCTTCCGTGGTCAAAATAAACAGTAAATAACGTGTGGTGATTAGTGACCGTTAATCGATGATTTGTTTTGTTTGTTTTTTGTGTAAATGTGCCATTCTTGCGTGTCGTGTCGAGGGTGCCAGTGAGATATTGCTGTTTTATGTTTATATATGTTTATTTAAACATAAAACAGCAATATCTCACTGGCACTATCAACTCAACACACAACAATGACACATCTACACAGAAAACAAACACTTTGAGTGATTGAATATAAAAAATATATTTTGCATTGTATAAATTCACTTTTTCCACATCCTACGTGTATTTGTTAAATGTAAACAATGTGTAGAGATCGGTGACCATTAATCGATAGTTATTCAGATATCGTGAGATGCGGTCGGGTGTAAACAATGTTTGTAAATCCCAGGCCCTGAATTGTTGAACTGTTGTCTCACGCAAGAATGGCACAATTACACAGAAGACAAACACTTTGAGCCCTGAAGATGATCTCAATAAAGATCGAAACGTTGGCACGATAAAGAAAATGTTTTTCTGAAACCTACATCACACGAGACCGCATCTCACGATCTCTGAATAATCAACAGTAAATAACGCTTTGTTTACTTTTGTACTGATCAAATTTATTTACACAAAAAGTAGCATTATGCCCTTCCATTCTGCTACGCATAAAGATCGCTTTCAGTTAATCTTTTTCCGTCGTTGACTTCATTTCATATTATTCTTATTCTTAAACCTTTTTCAATTTGTCTAGACAGACATTTGAGTAAGTGTGTCAGTGACAGGGTCATAACATTATTAGAGGAGGATACAGCCAGCGCGAAGCCGCCAGGAGACAGTGTAAATCACTCTACAATAAGAGTGATTTCTTCGGCACTTCAGAGAAACAGGGCTTTACACTAGAAGAGGTCGACCTAGATCAACATACGAGAGAGACGATAGATTCATCTTTCATAAGGCTCATATCACAAACAAACAGAATCCTGACTCTCATAACTGACATTCAACAGAAACTTCACTTAGAATTAAAAATTGCATAAACTCAATAGAATGAGTCATTATGACAGATTTGACTGGCCGAAATATCGGTGAATTTTTGAAAACCAGGGACAATCAAGGTGTGGACAGATGTTCGACGAGTTTGACTCTAAATGGCTATTTGAATATCCGATTATGTCATATAATCAAGGGTCGAATTGAGTAATGCGATAGTCCAAAGAGATTTTCAATCTTCTGCCTCCTGTTGGCCCGGCAATCTTGGTGAGTCAGCTTTATCTTAAACAAACTTTTGATATGGTAGAAAAACACTTTTTTGTATATGTGTGCTTTCGTTTGCCGAAGAAACATCTCAGCCGATAGTAGTTCTGTAGGACTATGATATTGACGATTGGCGATTGTAGGACTGTGATATTTCGTAGCATGACGGCTACAAAAGTATCATCTAGGCATATATCATATATCACGTACAGATTATACAATTTTTCCTCTTGAAATACATAACACCATACATTAATTAAGAGTACATGTATGTCTCCTAGCATAGTTGCCTCAGGATATCTGCAAAAAAACAGTTATATTATTTTCCTATTTAAAAAATATATTTTTATTGGCATTAAATATGTTTATGACATGTAACATGATCAATATAATTTAATTTTTATTCTTTATACTTCTCTTCAAATTAAACATTGTAAGTTACTTAAGATGTTAAAATTCATTTATTCTAAAAGAAAAGTTCTGTTAATGGTATAGAAGATAACATACAATTTATTTTATTTATCATGCGATATCTTTTACATTATTTCATTTTTTTAAATTTATGATTAACCAAAAATAGTTGTAAAAACGAGTTTTATCTGTA